TTTTAACTTCCCGTAGGGCAAGTTATAGTAATCGCAAAAAAATCGAAAATGAAAATTTTTATATATCTTTACGTTTCAAAACCTTCTAACATTTTGGCATACCTTAGAAAAAATGGATGTATGTGTGTGTGTGTATGTATGTGCGGATACAAATTTTCGTCGACGATTTCGGGAACACGGATGAAGCAATTTGAATAATTCAAAAAACATTCGATTCGTATTGATAAGGAGACGTGCTGATTAGTTTTTGGCGAAGGCAGGTCTAGCCGTTCCGAAGGTACGGGGCAAAAAGTGCCAAAAACGGTAACTCAGCTTTTGAGAGAACGGATCGTCCGATTTGAATAATTCAAAAAGAATTTTATTTGTATTAACTGAATGAAGAACTGTTCAAATTTTTGGAAAGGCAGGTGCAACGACTTCGGAGATATGGAGGAAAAAGTAAAAAAATGAGCCATCTGGCGATCAAAAATGAACATTAGACATACGCACATCAAATTATCAGATATTTTGTAGAGATTTTAACAATAATTATAAATTTTGTGTACATTCCTATGGGTTCCGTACCAATGTTTACGCGTTAGACGGCGACCCGGCGCTTACGCGCTTTGCAGTTAAAGCAGTACGATTGCTTTGAAAAAAAGTTCAGAATTTCCAAAATATTTCAAAATAAATGATTTAAAATAGAATGATTTAAGATGATTTAATATGGTTCGAAATTCTATTAAAAGTTTCAAATCATTGATAAACTCTTATTGATTATTATTGGTTATTTTTAATTACTCGAATTTTGAATTGCGGTACTGGAAGTTCCAGCAATTTGCCTTAAGGCACGATGCCCTAATTGCCTTAAGACAGAATTCCACTTACAGCTAGTTACTAAATTAAATTGTAATCATTTCTCTCAAGTCTAGTATAAGAGTACCTACTTGCATTTTGTAAACATTTTACTGACTTGTTGCATATAATTTTTTATTTAATATAGACTTCAAAACTATGTATACTTCCATAACATATTTTATAATTTTTTGCAAAAACTTCTAGAAAACTGGAACGCTCTTTAAATCTATATTATAAAAAATTGCCGCGTCCACTCATGTCAAAAAGAAACGAATTTTTAGTAGGCAGTAACTCGAAAAGTATCTGCTTTTTTGAAAAACATCATTAAACATTTTGAAAAAAAAATACATCATTTTGAATGGATGTCATCCCCACTCAAAGTGGCAAAGGAGAGTAAAATAAACCTACTTCCAAAATTTGATACAAATTGGAGCACAGTAAAAAAATTCAGAGCAAAAACAAAGTTTGTTTTTCTGGAAGTTTGTTTTTGATAACTTTTATTTTGTTGTATATATATGTGAATTCTGTCATTCGTCAAATGTTTGTCTCATATGGAAGTTGGTGTCGTATTCAAACTTTGTCTATTATTCAAATGAACGTGATAACTCGATTGTGGAACTGCATCGCCCTATGCACATTTGCACTCAATTCGACTCGACCTACATTTGAATACCTAAGATATAAGATGTATATATATATATATATATATATATATATATATATATATATATGTATATTTTATTTTTTTTGTTCGCAATTTTTGAGATGTTGCGTAGCAATCGGTCCATTCTCCGTTCCGATCATAAAACGAAACATTTTAATGAGAAGTCTAAAAATATACAATCGGGCTAAAATTATTGATACGTGGAATGTCTGGCTTTGATTTCCATCGATATAGACCAAGAGCCTCGCCAGTAGAGTCCTTTTTATATTTTTCGTGTCGTTATTTAATTTGGTCGTCAGTAGAGTCATTTTTTATATTTTTTTATGTTCTTTTTATTTATTCGTGTCGTTATTTAATTTGCTCGTCAATAGAGTCTTTTTGTATTTTTCAAGTCCTTATTTAATTTGCTCGACAGATTTTTGTTTTATTTTTTGTGTCGTTATTTAATTTGCTCGCCAGTAGAGTCTTTTTTATATTTTTCGTGTCTTTATTTAATTTGGTCGTCAGTAGAGTCCTTTTTATATTTTTCGTGTCTTTATTTAATTTGCTTGTCAGTAGAGTCCTATTTTATATTTTTCGTGTCGTTATTTAATTTGCTCGTCAATATAGTTCTTTTGTGAAATTTTCATGTCGTTATTTAATTTGCATTTCATATTTCCATGTATTTATTTAATTTGCCTGTCAGTAGAGTCCTTTTTGTATTTCTATGACTTTATTTTGTGAATTTTTCATGTTGTTATTTAATTTGCTCGTCAATAGAGTTCTTGTGAATTTTTCATGTCGTTATTTAATTTGGTCGTCAGTAGAGTCCTTTTTATATTTTTTGTGTCGTTATTTAATTTGCTCGTCAGTAGAGTCCTTTTCCATATTTTCCATGTCTTTATTTAATTTGCTTGTCGATAGAGTCCTTTTTTGTATTTTTCGTGTCGGTATTTAATTTGCTCGTCAATAGAGTTCTTTTTTTGTATTTTTCAAGTCCTTATTTAATTTGCTCGTCAATAGAGTCCTTTTTTATATTTTTTATGTCGTTTTTTAAATGTGGTCGTCAGTAGAGTCCTTTTTTGTATTTTCTTAAAAATAAAAAATCAGAATTTCAAAAATATCAAATTTTCCGAGTTTCTTACGATTATAATTCCCTTTCTTATTTTCACAAAACAACCATAAAAAGGTCCACCAGAAATGGTACAACACATCATTTTAAGGCACGTCAATTTGAGCAATCATGTTTTATTTTCCTGCCTAGGAATTATTTTAATTATCTTACCCCAATGGTTGATTTTTTGGGTTTATGAGTCTTTCACCAGCTCCCCGTCTAATTGCAATCTATCGATTTATCGAACAGGCCATGTGTTCCCCAAATGAACAAGTTGGAACGTAAACAGGAAAGAAGGATTTAAGGTTAACGAGTCGGACTCGCACACGATAAGCCAATTGAAATGTAATTGATGAAGATCAAGAATAGTTTGAAAGCTTTTTATAAAATAACTAATTCGATTAAAAAAATGATTGGGTGAATAATTGCGTTTTAAGGCAAATTGTGTATGTTTTTTTATTATTTTTAACTTTTGTTTAAGTTCAGGCCAAAAAATTCGATTTGCTAATTTTGTTATCCCAAAAGTTGAAGTCAAAATTGGACTTATACTGTTGTTTTTTTAATAGCTGAATGTACTGTGTATAGTTAGCTATAAAATAAAAAAAATGTTTTTTTTTTAAATTCTACTTTTGTTCAGAAATTCGAAAATAATTACAACAAATGATTGAAATATTTGTTGACCCTAAATTTACACAATTAAATGTATACATACTTTCAAGAGCTTTATACAAAATCTGTTGATTTATTCTGCATGAATCTTATTAGTTTTTGGGCACTTTGTGGCATTTGTTAGCTTTTTTTCGGACAACACATTAAAAATACAAATAGAATATTTTTAATATTTTTTTGAACCATCCAAATCGGATTACCTATTTTTCCTACATATATGCATGGTACGTACATACATACTCAAACACACACACACATGAATAGATCGACTTTTTAAAAAATGCCAAAATAATCTGTTGGTTCAATTTTCTTCATCGTTTTTAAGCACATTTTTTAGGAAAAAAAGTAGACAAAAAATATTTCGAAATATTGGGCATTTTTTACTAAGAATTTCATATTTTAAATATAAATTGTATGATAGATATTGAGTGTTCAAGATATTGTATGTTCAAATTACATTACATAGGAAATATATATAGGAATCTTCTGTTCAAGCAGATAGAAAGTGTATAAAATTTATTTTCAAATTTTTAAACCGCAACTCGTAAAATTTTCAATCTTTTCCAATCCAACATTAGAATATATGATTTTTTTTATGGCAAAAATACTCGATTTATAGAACTTATATAAATGTGAACTTTCGATCCAATGTAATTCACAAATAAATTTATCTCGAAGTTTCCAGTAAAATTGACAACTGCCATTTCACAGTTTTGTTTTATTGAAAATTTTTTGAATTTACCAAAATTTTAATATCGAAAATGAAGTTAGATTTTTATTATTACCTATAACCTAAGTTGGATATAAATGCATACAGTGAGCAAATAAAATTGAAAATCGGTTCAGTAGTTTAGGAGTTTATTCTGGACAAACATTGTGGCTTATATGTGATTTATATATATAGTGCACCATTGCTATACAATTTATTAAAATTTTGGACATCAATAAAGTTCTAATAATTTCTATTGTCAGAAAGATTACACGTGTTGAGAAATAGATCAAGATTATTAACATCAGTAGAAAAGCAGCTGAGGTGTGCCAGAAATTAAAATAATATAAGATACATATACAAACAGTATATGTTTGGCAGATGAAATTATATAATTCAGTTTAATAAATAACACCATACGTTCAAAATTGCATATACATTATTTTTTTAAACTTCTGCATGTCGCATTTTGGTTTACTTTACTAAATTATTTAACAATACAAAAAATATTTCTGCTTATTGATGTTGAAATGATTTAGAATTTCGTTTCATGTGTCAAAAATTGATTTGTTTGGCGTTGGATATGGAATATTTAGCAAATTGATCTTAGATTGAAGAACTAGATTTTACAAATTAATTTACCGAAAATTTGAACGTGAACAATTCTGTTTATTAAATTAATAATAAGAAAAATGTACTTTACAACCGATTATAATTGCCAAAAAGCAACTAATATATCTTACGTGACTATGAAAAGATGTGTTGTAAAATCAAGTGTGATATTGTTTTTTTACCGCAGACACTATATTATTTTTTTCTGAATTTCTTATACTGCTTATGCTAAGACCATAAATGAATCACATCATGCATGACATCAAATGGGATAATAAAAAGTATAGGATAGGATATTAAACAATTTGGAACTTTTGAATTGTAGACGTGGGTACAGGACAACGTCTGTAGGGTCATCTAGTTCTAGTATATATATATATATATATATATATATATATATCAATTTTTTCCCCCAGATCAAGATGGTGCCGAGCCTTCCGGCAACTCTGTTTCGGCCCATAATCTTTCCCGTCTGGCGGCACATTCTGGAGCCTCCCACGAACAATTGTCGCCCCAACAGAGACACAGGAGCAGTTCTTCAGGAGGCAAAAGAGTCACAATCGGGGAACCGGAGGCCATCAAAGCCAGAAAGATTTTGGCCGCCTTTTCACACAGATTGGAAAGGGCGCCTGTCGCCCTTCCGGAGATGACGAGCGCCTTGGCTTTGGCGCACGATTCACACACTCAGGTAATAAAGGATATATGAAAAATTAAATTATTAACTTATTGTAAAAGCCAAAACGGTTTTTGAGAAAATACTACTTGTTTAAATAGTAGTATTGAGTGCGAAGTCATCCATTCATTTAATACTTCTTTTTATTACGAAAGTGATGACAACAAATACGATATTTGTATTTCTCGCTTTAAAATCTATTAAGTGATTTGTCACAAGGTAAAGGCTCTTATTGTTAGTAAGTTGCTCTTTGCTATAAGCAAATAATATTTTATAATTTTTTTCACAATATGAAATAAACAAAAACAAATACTGAATTCGTATTCCTCTCTTTGAAACCTGTTCAATAATATGTCACACCGAAAAAGCTCTTAGTAAATTGCCTAATGGCAAGTTGCCCTTGGAACAATATTATTTAATAATTTTTAACTTCCCGTAGGGTAAGTTATAGTAATCGAAAAAAATCTAAAATATTTTTTTTTATATGTCTTTCCTTTTCAAAGGTTTCAGAGCATTTTGACATACCTTAGATAAAATTGATGTTTGTGTGTTTGTGTTTGCGCGGATACAAATTTTCGTCGACGATTTCGGGAACATCGATCAGCCGATTTGATTAATTAAAAAAACACGATTCATATTGATAAGGAGACGTGCTGATTAGTTTTTGGCGAAGGCAGGTCTAGCCGTTTCGAAGATACGGGGCAAAAAGTGCCAAAAACGGCGACACGGTTTTTAAGAGAACGTAGCATCCCATTTTAATAATTCAAAAAAAAATTTACTTGTATTGACAAGATGAAGAACTGATTAAATGTTTGAGAAGGCAGGTCCAGCACTTATGGTCTCTCAATAAAAATAATTTAAAAAATGCCATTTGGTGGTCAAAAATGTTCATTGGACATATTCACATCAAATTATCAGATATTTTATAGAGATTTTAATAATGTGTACATTTCGTGTGAATTTTTTGGGTTCCGTACCTAGATTTTTAATTTTAAAATTAACGTATATGATTCAAACAAATGTCCTAGACTGTATGGAATAACCGATTTGTATGATTGAAAGACGTTTTTCAAAAGGCACGTCCAGCCGTTTTGGAGGTATGGAGCGCAAAGGGTGTAAAAATGATCATGCAGTTTTTGAAAGAATGGATCATCCGATTAGAATAATTCAAAAAACATTTTGCTTGAGTTGGACGGTGTGCAAAAAATGCATTTACAAAAAATTTAGTAACTTCGAAAATTTTTAAAGAAAAATCAAAATTTTCAAACAAAATCGAAGTTTCAAATTTTCGAAATTATTCATTATTTTTTAAAAAAAACTAAATTTTAAAAAATTTCAAAAATATCAAAATTGAAAAAAAAATTGAATATTTGCGAAAATTCCCAAATTTTCAAAAAATATAGAAAAAACATTTTTATTAAAAAAAAATTCAAACTTCTAACAAAAATTCAAAATTTTGAAAAAATCTAACTTTTTATTAATTATATTTTCAAACAATCAAGTTGTGAGAAATTGTTTAGAATAACGAAAAGCTAAAAATATAGTACTATACAAAAATACTTTCATAATTTTTTTTTATGTAAATGTAAAAACACTAAACATATAAATGTATATATATATATATATATATATATATATATATATATATATATATATATATATATAATACATTTCTTTTTTTTTACAGATTTTGATAGCTGGTCGAAAAGATGACCCCAGAACGAAAGCGCTCCTCAAAGTAGTCAGATCCAAATTAATACCAGGTACTTAACCACTAAACCTCATATCATATCATACAAATTAATTTATATTTTTTCATTTTTTTTAACAGGACGAGTACTTGCTTTAGCAGATCCTGCCTTGGACAGTGAATCTTGTAGTTCGACATCGACGCAGGAAGAATGTCCTTTGACTTCTAGGATAAAACCAATCAATGGGGTAAAAATAATACAAGAAAATAAGATTAATATAGGTTTATGTTTTTTAATGTATTTTTTTTTAATTTGACAGAGATCTGCAGCTTATGTGTGTAGGGGTAGACGTTGTGCTTTGCCAGTCACAGAACCTGAAGATTTATCTAAACTTATTGATGAAACTGACCGAGATCATGTGAGAAAATTTTACAAAATATTTTATAAACAAAATTTAATCCTCTTTCACAAATTCTATTTTCTTCCTATTACATATTTCCCGTATTTCTTATTAATTTTTTAATTTTTTTATTATTTTTTTTCAGGATCATGGTCAACAAAGGCAGCAAGAAAGAGCCGGTAGTCATGCTCGTGGCGAATAAATTAATTTAATCGATTAAAAATTGGTTAAATATTTATTTATAAGTGCAAAAAAGGCGTAAGTGATTTTTTTTTGATTTTGATACAGGTGGAATACTCTTTGGCTTTCTATCTGGGGTGACTTTCTTGTCTTTCATATTTGTTTCTGTAAGAAACACATGCAAAACATTTATTTTGTAGAGTCAAATTATTATTTTTAATTGGTTATTGATTTTTTTATAAATATATATTTTAGTTTTATTATGTTTTAGTTTATTTTTGAAACTAAAATTAATCTCCGATGAGATACATTAGAGTTACATATATAAATTTATATTAAAATTTCTATTTCTGCGGTTTCTTTTTCTATTTTCACTTCTTTTTTCATGCCTATTATATGTGTTTCTGATTTCAAACTACAAATTTTATTTCAAACTATTCGGGAAAAAATATTTAATTAATTAAATAATTACGTCAGTTCGAATAATAAATCGTTGCTTCAATATTTTTACATAATTCAAAATTTATATAAACTAAAATTAAAAATCATAAAACAAAATTTAAGATAAAATATATATATATATGAAATATATATATATATATATATATATATATATTTATATATATATGTTAAAAATTTATAAATTGATTGTTTATTATAAAATGGTTATATTTTTGCTACGTCTCTATAAATTGGTGTTTAAAATTTTAAATATATTTATTTATTTAAATATTTATATTAAACATGTACAAGTTTATATTAAGGGTAGTTTAAGAGCTTATTAAAATTGTTAATATTGTTTATAACATTTATATAGGATATATTTAAAATGGTAAAGTAAATAAAAACGTAAGTGGAAGTTTATGGATTTCATTTAGTAAAATAGTTTATAATTTTTTATAAAGACTTTAGAAATTAATTTAGAAAATTTCATTCGTATTTTGTATTCAAGACTCTCGGTTATTTGTCATTTAATTTTTTTCTATTTTTGTGCCACTAAAAAGACCTTTGTATTTTTATTGCAATTTCATTTAAATGCTTTTAAATTTAACTTTTTTATGCGTCTTGAAAATAAAATAAAAAATTAATATTAAAATATTTAATAAAAATTGTATTTTAAAATGAAGAACAGAAGCGTCGTATTTATTTTATCTATTTTTTTCTACAGAATAAGTTTGCATTTTTTTCAATAATATTATTTTTATGGCAATTTTATTAAAATGCTTTTAAATTTAAATTTTTCATACGTCTTGAGAATAAAATTAAAAATTAATATTAAGCACATTTAAAATATTTAATAAAAATTTTATTTTAAAATGAGGAACAGATGCGTCATATTTAATTTTGTCTATTTTCTTCTACAGAATAAGTTTTCATTTTTTTCAATAATTTTAAATTTACTAAAATAAAATTAATTCATTAACAACTAAATTTTAAATCATGTGTAATCACTTAACTTCTAAACCAGATTTAATATTTAATTATAATAATAAATTGATATTAAATATCATTTGAATATAATGATCTTTTACTTTCATTTTCAAACTATTGGGCTACTCTTTTTTCAATTTTCTTTATTTCTTCATAAAAATTTGGACTATCAGTTAAATAGATATTTTGTGTGTGACTTTGAACATTACAATATTTAATATTTAATAATAAAAATAAATTGTTTGATTAAATATTATTTAAAAATGTTCCTTTTCTTTTGCAAACTCTTGGACTACTTTTTTTTCTAATTTTCTTGATTTATTTGTATAAATTTGGGCCATCATGTTTAATAGATATCTTAAATGAATCATATTTAAATATAATGTTCTGTTTCCTCATTTAATATGTTTATTTTTTCCTATTTTTTGCTTTATTTTCAAACTCTTGGGCTTAACATTATATATATAATTTGTTTATAATTCAATACAAGTCTTAAATCTGAATTATTACGTCTATTTGTCGTAATTTCTCAATATTAAAACAATAAATTCGTCATGGGACTGTTCGAAACAAAAGACGTTTATTGCCCTCATTTCATATTGGCCCACGAAGGCTAAATTCTGATTGGAATCGTGTGCATGTATATAAAATCATAAAAATCATATATGAAATACAACCGATCAAGGTTGGATCGGTAATAAATTTATTATATATATATATATATATATATATATATATATTTGTATACATATGTAAACATCTCCAGAATATCTGTTTTATATGAGCTATCACTTAAGAGGCATTAGTTCATAAAATCTAATTTTAATATTCGCTGGCGAATTGCCAGAATAAGTTTTCAAGAATGAAATGAAACAGCTAAAGTTAAAGGCATTTCGGTGATTCGATTGTTTTGGGAAAAAAGTATTATTCATACGCAAAAATGGACAACTTCTTCCAGCATGTTCTACTAAAATTTCTTTTCTCCCTACTTTGGCAAATTTATTTATTTTCGCCAAGATCGATGATGTGTTTTTACGAGCGGCGGAGACTTCGGAATTCCGGTCTGTCGTTCCGTTTTGTCCGGCGATAAACTTCCGGAGGGATTAATACCTTTGTTTGTTTCTAACCGGAGTATTTGGGACGCGGAAAATATAGTAATAACGGCCAAAAAGAAAAAGAAAGGTTTTTTACTTATTGCAGGACACACATGTTGTGAAGCTCCGAAATGAATATACGAGGTGTGTTCAAAAAGTACCCGGAATTACTAATAATTAAATTTCGCGGGTCTGGAGTGTCTGATTGTCAAATTTTTTTTTTTATTGTGTTGGTATACATGCCCCTAAAGTATGATGAAATTTTCAGCTATATTCACTGTTTACTTTGTCTGTGGTAGCGCTAAGGTTCGACGTGTTTTTCTGAGCTCGACGATTTTACAATGGAAGAATTGAAAAGTCAAAGAATTTGTATTAAATTTTGCGTAAAAATGAAATAAAGTGTTGCAAAGTGCAAAAATTCACCAGATATGGCTCCGTGTGACTTTTTCCTATTCCCAAAGTTGAAGAGACCCATGAAAGGACGGCGGTTTCCTCGATTGAAGAAAATCGCCGAGAGTGCTCAAGGACATATCAAAAAGTGAATATCAAGGGTGCTTCGAAAATGGAAAAAACGCTGGCATAAGTGTATTATATCTGGGGGGACTACTTTGAAGGGGACCACATTAATGTAGACGAATAAATAAATATTTTTTTAAAAAAACGAAAATTCCGGATACTTTTTGAACAGACCTCGTATATACATGTATATATTAGGGTGGTCCTTAATTTGGACATTTTCGAATTTCCATGCTCCCAGGGGCTCAAATGGTTTCAAATTGATAAACAACAATTTTCTGAAAGTTTTAGCTCTTAATATTAACGTTAGGTAGTGCATTTTACATTGCATTTGTTTTTTTAGAATATTATAACATAACAAGTGAATCCAAATTTTGAAAATAACATTGTATTTGCTTATTTTGATCATGAATTAAAAATTTACAACAAAAATTTGATATATTTTATAAAATAAGTATTTACTTACGAAGAAAAACCAAGAACATTTGATTGAATTGCGGACTATCTTAAGGGAGTATTCTAGTGTAGAAATTGAAAAAAAACATTTTTTTTATTTAATATTTTCAAAGTTTATTTATCTAAGAATATGGGTACGAGAAAGTTTTTGAAAATTTAAATTATTTTCTAGATATAGGCATTTCACTGACTCGGTCACCATACTGCTTTGGCTTCACGCAAAACTTTAAATGCGTTTTTTTCAGAACAGACTTTTTCAGTACTGTTGACACAATTTCTCGAGTTCTACTGGACCGATTCACTTGAAATGTTCAGAGATTTTATAGACCTATCTGAATCTATAGCCCCAACTAGGGCTACCCCCACATTCCAATTTTTACTATTTTTAAAAAATTCTAGAAACTCAAAAAAACAGTAAAAAAACACTTTTTTTTTCAAACACTCGCTAATTTGTAACAAAAAATTTTTTCTTACTCATCGCTAGTTCGGGCGATTGCGACAGCATTTTACATTAATAATCTTTTTACTTTTTGCATTTCCGATGGCCAGGAGGGATGAAATCATGTCAAGACTGAGGTGCCAATTTTTTGAGACCACCCACTTTATCAGCTGCCAGTTTTTACAATTTTCAACTTTTTTATTTTTGAATTTTTGTTTTGTATTTTAATAATATTAATAAACAAGTGGTAAAGAAATGGATAGTAAAAACATTCATTGCTTTCTTTTACGACACTTTAAAAATGACCTAAAATTTATCGCTCTACACTAGAATACCCCCTTATTAAAGTTAATATTAAGAGCTAAAACTTTCAGAGAAATTTTTTTCATGAATTTGGAAGCATTTGAGCAAAAAAAAATCGAGAATATTTCTATCAAGGACTATCCTGAATAAGTAAGTGTATTAAGAGATAAGTTACCTTTATGGGAAAATAATTAGAAACAGTTGAATGAAAATTGACTATCTAAGCAAATTATTGTTTATTATCAATTTTATCATTTTTATAACTACGGCTTTTTGGATATTTGACGATGTTATTGAATTTAAAAATTGTGCTTGTCTTTACCAAAAACTAATCAGCACATCTCCCAATGAATAGGGATCGCATGTTTTTCAAAACCATTCAAATCGGTTGATCCGTGCGCCCGAGAACGTGGACGAAAAAATGCGGACATACAAAACACACACACACACACACACATACATACACATCCATTTTTTCTGAGGTATGCCAAAATGTTCAAAAACTTTCAAAACGTCGAGAAATGCAAAAATTTTTCATTTTCGATTTTCGGCCCACTACTATAACTACCCTACGGGAAGTTAAAAATATTATTAAAATATTTTATAATTGAATATTATTATTCGATTTTGCCGTAAAATGAATCATTGTTATGGCAATGCTATATTATGTAACAGTTTTCATATAAAGTGACACTAAAAACTGTTAAAATTATATGTAATTGCTTTGCTGTCAGGTGGTTTTGGTAGAAAAACTAACCTAGAAAACGCTCAAATATCATGTTATCATAACTTGGATTGGTGACATTGGAGTTATTTTGCATTTTGTGTGTAAAACTCCTGATCGTATAGTAAATACATGGCATTTTGAAAGTATTCAGTGGCATTTTGTATG